ACAGCGGATACGGGAAGGTGTTGGAACGAAGAGTGTCGGAGGTGATGGAAGTGGTAGTGTGTGGGGGATTTTAAGCATAAATCACCACTGTGACAAAGCTCTCCAATAGGCAGATAAGTGCACATTAGTGGTAAGGCAGATCTGTCATCGTCTGTCTCCGAGCTGTTGGTCCCGCCCTCTCCCCGAAACAAACGCTGACTTGAGAAGACTCCAAACTCTGCGTCTGTGTGGCACAGAAGCAACTGGCCTGAATATACTCACAAACTTATTGGGTGAGCCTTATTATTTTATGATGAAATGTTCACAGTATGTGGGCCACCTGTCAAAATAAAACAAGTTCTATTTTAGCTAATATACTAAGAAACTGGCTAATTATACAATTAGGGCTCCAACTAAAGATTAGTTTCATAATAGATTAATCAGGTAATTATTTTCTTGATTAACTGATTTTAGCTATTTAAAAATGCTTATTTCCCAGAGCCCAAGGTCTGACCAACAGTCCAAAAAAATAATAGTTTACATTGATATAAAACACATTGATAGAAAAGAAGCAAATCCTCACAGTTTTTGTTTTAAAATGGCTTAAATGATGATAACCAATTATCAAAATAATTGCTGATAATTGCTAATTTTCTGATGATCGACTGATGCTCTTGAGCTCTAAATACAATATTATGCCAAGATCCTGTAGTGTTTTACAAATACTAAAAGGCGTACAGTTCTTTTATTGTACATACAAATTATTTTTGACAATGAGTCATTTTATAGAATTAATATATCTTTTTTATATATTAATTGGGTTATGTCCCAAATCCAGATTTCTACAGGCATTACAACAATAATCTAATAAGAAGAAGAATGTACAGATAATAAGCCATTAGCCACAGTCAATATCATCTCCAGAAGGCCTTGAATACTCAGGCGGTGTTACAGAGGGAGGGAGAGATCTGTGCCAAATTAAGAGACAAGCTGGAAAGCTCCCCAATCAATGTTATTTTCTCTCTCAGTCCCAGACCAACTGTCTATTCATCTGTTTCTTTCAAATGAAAGGTGTGCTGGTATGTAACACTTACAGTCGAAAAGATCTGTCTCTTAATTAAAATGTTACAGATTGTGTTTCGCTCACTGTGCAGACTGAACATACTGTGTATTGGAAATAATGTTCCCTATAGTGTGTGGTATTGATCAGAGGAGGAAAATAAAGGATGTTTCGGTGAGAAAATAGAATTTGTGTGATGCAGCTTTTGGTAGGAGTGTGTCCCTGACTATTGAAAGTAAACCAATGACGAGCACCTCATTGGAGGAGGGGGGGGGGCTTTTGTTTGAAAAGCCAGTTCCATACTAGGACACATGCTGGTCCATACGATCCATCAAATTCATTGCCTTTGTTTGGATTTTACTTTTAAAGGAGAAAAGAGTATACATTAGCCAGAGTGTACATGTGGTCCTGTACATGCAAGCTCATTCTGAATAGAGGCATATGAATAATTTATCTTGCCACAATCCAACTGGGAACGTCCTTGGTATTTACATTTTATCATCAAGGGCACTGGATGAGCCCTCAAAGCAATCTAACACATGACACATCCTCAGTCCTCGTCCCTTTGCACAATCAAATGCAACGGGTGGACCAGGAAAATGTTTGTGTAGCGTGGATATATATTTATACACTGCGAAAACAAAAGGTTGATGAACATCCTCGATGATGACTAAGCGCGGCGGCCTTTAGATTACACAGTGGTCACCCACAGCCACAGCGAAGCATGGTAAAAGATGACAGCTATGCGAAGGCTCCGAGGGACATGCACAGGGACTGACTTCACACAATGGCTCCAATGTTTACAGCAGACAATTTAGTTTCCTTCCAACAATTATGAGGGAAATTGAATCTCAGGAAATGTTCGTTTTCTTGTCCATTAGACCAAACAATAACATTATCCCCACAGGTTTACAAAAACATCTGTCTTCAAAGGACAGTCCAGAAAATTAATATCAACTGGCTCGCAGGCTTTGTCAGGACAAAGTAAATCAAATTGAGCCAATCGCACTTCTTTTTCTCTTCTTTTCTTCATTTGGTGTAACATTTAGGAAGATGAAAGTGTGCTTTAAACGCTGAGTCTGTGTCTACATTCTTGCTTCACAATAAACATCGCTAACGTCCTTTTTTGTGGTCAAATTAAAGATGGGTGTTTTAGTGTTTTAGGTATCGTAACTTAATGAAATTCCTCTCATCTGGCTTTGAGCTTACTGCCTTCGATTGGTATTCCTTTAAAAGACATTAGATACATTTTAATCCTACTGAAAGCTATTGTTGTAAAAAAAGAAGATTGGCCGTTACTGTGTACTTACAGGCACAATCTGTGATATAAATGGGAGGAGGGGGGTGGCTTGCTCCGCCACCCAGTCACAAAAAAACACAAGGATTTAAAGCAGCTATCACTTCAAAATGAACAAACACCAACATCAGACAGCAACAAAATCTACAATGTTAATATTTTCTAATACTGATTGAGGTTTGTTTGCAGTGAAACACGCTTATGTTTTGTATTCCAACCCGCCGAGTAATGCTCATTTGTCATTTGGAGGTCAACCTTTTCAGTTATATTTTTTAACAAACCTGTAATTTATATGATCACAAAATTACAGAATGGGCCTTTACTCTCACCTTTATACTACAACAGGGATGAGAGAAACGAGAATGAAAAAAGTGCCCCGTATCCTCTCTCCTTTCTTCCATCTCCCCATGTCCCTTATTTTCTAAAAGTATCTGTTTGAGAGATAAATGACCACTCTGCTGCCGAGGATGACAGCCTACACAAAGATGATATTGAATTGATTTCAGAAATGTTGCAGAACTGACTGTTTGATGTATACTGCTAGACATGAATCATAAAAATTCTATTAAAAAACCCTTGAATGGCTGACACCAGAATATTATTTGTGATGATTAATTTGACTCAGTCATTACAATGGGAGTCAAGTTGGATCGTCTCAGACAAAATTGCTTTTCATTCCCTGTTGAATTTCCCTGCTATTTTTCTTTTCTTCTTGCTCTGTGCAGAACTCTGATCTGATTGGACTTACTGTGTTAGTGCGACAGCACACAAATATAGAGGCTGTTGGTCTTCTTTATTACTGATCGCTGAGCATTCAGGTTTTGTTCCAAAATGAGACGTTCAACATTTGAAACAAAATTACACCTATTCTAACAAAATGACAGATCAGAATTTAAACAGTTTACAAAGCTTTTTGTAGAATGGCACGTAGCTGAATTCCTTGGTGAACACAATGTTAATATATTAATACATTCTTCTTTATTCTATTTGTGATAATGTTTTGCCCTAAAACAGTTATATTCCTTGATATATTGCTGTAATGCTCCCAAAGCATTTTTTTTTTTTGGACATTGCAACTCCCCCTATTTTATAGCTTCAAATGACTAATTATCTGACCCAAACTTATCAGAAAAATGAACGCTTACATCATAGGAAAATTATTTTGCGTGCATTTTGATTTCTTAGTTTGGTCCATGTCCCGTCTGCTAACATGGAGGCAGCGGGCTTTATGACCTAGATATGTTTTGGCATCAATTTTGGAGAGCTGTCATATTGTCCATCTTTATATATGTCAGTGGTAGCAACCAAAGTAATGATGTAGTGATGAATTTAGCATTTATTTTGTCGCAGATCAACCAAATGTTCAGTACAGCTGTCAGTAAGGGGTAATCTGCCAAATAATTGTTTATCTTGGAATCGTCTGCAAGAAATTGAGAACCACAGGGCGACAGTTTTCAATTTAGCATTAGTTTTTCTCTTCAAAACAGAATACAAAACAAGGTGTCCTGATGTATGTAAATATTGGATGAGGCAGAGGCTACCACTACGACATAAAAAATTTTATATATTGGGACACCAAAGTCCATTTTTTTTATTTTTAGTTTGTTTGTTGTCAGTGTCACTGTTAACCAGTTAACAACAAGGTGCCAAATTATACAAAAATTCACGTGGGGAAACAACAAACATTTCCTTCCAAAGATCCATTTTAAAAGCATTAGTTAGCTTAACTTTTAGCTAGTAGCAATGGAAACTGTTGCTATGGATACCGCAACATTACACTGATCTATAACTGAGGTTAAACTATTGAGTGGAACTGTATGGAAGTGTCCTATTTTACATTTTTGATAGACACCTTGGAGTCAATAAGGAACAAGTACTTTTGGTTGTTATAATCCCTATCTGTGTAAGGGTTATTTTTTGGACTATAGTCTTGTCTGGATATTAGTTTGATTTATTTCAGTGTTTTCAATGAAAATTAAAAAGAATAATTTTACAGCCCATTACAGTTTGGTATTGTTAATGGCTCTGAATACTGTGATACCCATGAACATCAGCTGCCATTGGTTTGGAGAAGAAGCCAAACTGTGGGAATTAGAGTGCTTTGTTGTTGCATTTGGGAGAAAAACTCTCATCATAGTTGCCAAATTCATCCAAGATTGACCAGGAATCCAAAAGCAAACTGTTTCAAACTGCTGAATATATCTTGGGGTTTTAGTGCTTCTTCGTTGTTATGAATTTTATGTTCGGTGATTTGGATGTTTCCTAATGGAATGTGCACCTTGAGAGTGGGCGAAGAGTTGTGGTGACTTTCGTCCTTACATTTTCTGTACACAGAACCTTTTACTTTTGATTAAGCGCAGTCACTGATATTTTGTGATAGTGAGGATTCAACACCCATTCGACACTTGGAAGTGCTCCAGTTACCTAACATGGCCTATGCAGGAAATGAACAGGACATTTTGAATCCTTGGCGCCGGAAATAGCTATCTCTCAATCAAGTAACTCTATTACCGTAAACTGAATGTCTACATCTGTAACCCATATGGAATTGTACTGTGTAGAAATAAGTTATGACTTTGCTTTAGTTTGGCCTAATATCCAGTATCCATTGCTTCCTTAAACTTTAGTTTTTCTCACTGTTTTCTCTCTGTGTCTCTCCCTCAGAGCTACACAGGTCAGACCGGCGGCAGCGGGGGAGGAGGTGGAGGTGGTGGTACAGCCAGTGGAAATGGGGATGAAGACTACGAGATCCCCCCCATCACTCCACCTAACCACCCCGAGCCTCCTCTGCTTCACCTGATGGAGCACGACTCTACTGGCTACCTCTGCCACTCGCTGCCACACAATGGGCTCATCAACCCGTATTCCTACCCAGAGCTGCCCACACTCATGATGTCTAACATGCTGGCACAGGACAGCCACCTCGTCTCCAGCCAAATGCCCTCGGTGAGTAGCACTACATGGACTAAACCATTTCGTGGGGGGCCCTGTAACACCGGAAAGCTGATGTTTCCAGTAATGGTCACCAATGTTTAAGCCTCTAATTACAGTAACAATTATTTCATGCCTCAGAGGAAAGAGGGTTGGACTTAAACCAAGCCCTTTTAGTTTGTGGTGTGATTCAACTGTGCTGGCTTATAACAAAAACTGTAGGTGATTTGAAGTAATTGTTTGATACCCAGAAGGACAAGAGGGCAAATTATTAACCCTCGCATGTACACAGACAAACACTAATCAGATACCATACATTGAGTAAGATACAAAGTTTAGAAAATAAAAAGATGATGGAGTGCATGAGAGATTGGACAAATTTGCTTTTTGGATATTGCAGAACATCCAAAACAGCCATTTTTAAGAGCTCTCTAATATGAAACAGATTACAGCCTTATAAGGTAAATGTAATTTTGAAAACATGGAGAAGGGGGCTAAAAAGTGGGGGGACTGAGTGATTGTTCAGTGGTTGCCATGTCAGCTCTGATGCATGGAGAAAGGGATTGTGGGTAAATCCATCAGCATCATATCTACCTCGACAGCATGCATCGGTCAATCTGTCAAGCCTTCAAACATGAATACGTGCTGATTACTCCCTCAGCTCCACACAGAACTGCTCCTCCACAAATTAGCATCTCCAAACCATAATTGCATTCATGAGAACTGCAGGAAATAGAGCCGGTTTCTATCACAACAGATGATATATGTAAAGCTTATGCATGAACCTTAATGTATCCTATATGCTGCAATAAGCAAAGGTTCTATAGTTAGCGGTCACTGTTACAGTTCACATATAGCCCATATAGAAAAGACTGAGCTGAGTAAATGAGTGGAGTTCAAAGTCATGTTCTTATTCAGTGACCAAAATGTAAATACTGTAACAGAGGAGCACTGAGTAGAGTGCTTTTAACATTCATGTAAGGGTTTGATATTTCATTCAGCACCTTGCCTTTAAAATATGGACAGATGTGAATGTTGTTTATTGATTGCAACACTGAGAGCTCAGTAAAAACATCATTTGTATTAACAAAAAGCACATATTGTCAACAATATTAACATATGCAAAGATTTTTGCGCTCTGGATTTGAAGGTCAGAATTTCATAGCTTCATAACTTGCTTGACATTGATGAGATATCATAAACAGACACACAAATAGCTACTCTCGACAGCTGTGCCTTTTTGATAATAAAAAAGGTTAATAATATAGTAGACATGTTTTATATTGTTCCTTTTCTGTCTGAGGCATCATCAGAAAAGTCAGCAGCATATTTTGTGTATGTTAATGAAAAGAAAAGAACATCTATATACAGTATACATTAAATACATACAGATGCATATCTAGGTCAAGTATTATGTATTATAATGTTCATCATAAATAGAAGAGATAAACAGAAGGCCGAATACAGCCAAAATACGGCATGATAAAGATCTGAAACATAAACATACTATATATTATATATTATGTTGGAATATGCCCCCTAGGTATTGGATTCATGTGTCATTTATCTTCATATTCATTTCACATTTTGGTCATGACCTTTACCTCGGAGACAGTGGTTGATTGGCCAGTCTTTCTCTCGGCAGTCAGGATATTTGTTACTCCTACAGAGGGCCACACTCTGCGGTTTAATAGATTGTATACTGCAGGTTGTGTGATAAAAATGCATGAGATGTGAAATGTTTGAAATGACACACGATGAGCATGTACTACAAAATGCAACCAAAGGCTGTAAAAGTAGAAAAAATAAGAACAGCAACACATATTGCAAATGTGATATATTGTCCAAATTGAGTTAATGTTCAGGGTAATTTGGAAGCAAATAAATTTAAAAAAACATCGGAAGAAATGACTGCCCTGAAATTACAACAAATTTAAAATAGCATTTGGTGATAAGTGATCTTTAAAAACTGGTATAACCTTCCAAACCTCAATATATCTCACTGGCTCTGAGAGAAGCTACTTGAACACATAGGAGCTCTTTTCAGGGCTCTACTTTAACTTCACTGCAAAAAAAAAAAAAGCAGCATATAAAGCAAACTCAGAAATTTCTAAATCAAATAGCCTGCCTGGCGAAACTACCAAACCGTAGCAGAGGTTCATTTGTGCTGAGAACGGAGTGTCTATTAAATTGGTGCCTCACCTTGACACAGTCTGTTGAGCAGAGTAATTAAGCAAACTCTGCAGTTCAAACATGAGATGCTATCATAATGAATACCTCACTTGACATGGATAGATAAATAACAAGGGTTAATTCCAATTTCAGACTGTTTCGTGCTCTGAAAAATACAGTGTTTGAGTGTTATATGTAGATAGAAAGGTATTTTGTTGCAGCTGCTGTTGACATTGTGTGTCCAAGTGTGTCTGTGTGTTTCTGTGTCCTCACTATAAACAATATCTCTGCTGTTGAAATGGATCCACTACATCTGGAGGTCAGGCCTTATATTCAATCTTGAGCACATTGAAAAAAAAATCCATTAGGGTTCATCTTTCCTGCATCAGCCATTCTATTGTGGTGCTGCAGTGAGATCTGTTTTCATCAGGCAGATTCAATACGTGAGCTGGGCAATGAAAAGAGTGCAATAGAGTTGGATGAAGAGAGGAGGGGTGAGGATGGAGAGAGAGAGAGAGAAAGATGGAGAGAGGAGGGCATTGTGGGGAGGAAAGCAAGAAGAAATTGCAAAGAGGAAAGAGGTAACTCTTATTCAAAATGAGCATATACCTCCAGTTTTCTGTACCTCCTGGATTTCATTATTAGATATTTGAGAGATAATTCAGTTGAGTGAAATAAGGTTATTCTGTCTCAACAAAAGGCTGAGAGCTTCTGGTTTTTAAATGTGTGCCTACGTGATTCAAGTATGAGGACGTTGGAAAGTACTCCATTGCAGGTGCAACAATATAAACATAAAATAAATAGGGCGATTATATAACAAAAAGGATTTAGAGCAGTATTACAGCAGCAGTTGATCATAGTCAGGGAGCTGCTAGACAGAATAGATAGTGTGTTTCTTTTATGGTGGTAGGGTGAACTGTAGGATTAAATGGTGTTTAGATTTAGATCTTTTAGGTGGGCGTGGATCCTCCTGTGGACCAATGACAACTATCAAGTTTCACTTAAAATAAGGAGTAGAGATTATTAAAGAACACAACTGGTGTATTTCTATGTATATATCTAACAATGTGTTAGTCTGTCTTTCTGACTTCTCTTCCCTGTCTGTTTTGCGACACAAGCCCATTTAAAGATGTAACCCTACAAACGAATATAAAAGGTTCAGTAATTTCCTTTCAGTAACTGCTAGGCACTATAATTTTCAGCAAACATTAGTCATAAAGGAGTAAATATTGGATTTGTTGAGGACTATTTTCAGCTGTGGATTAATACACACTTTGTTTGCTAGCAGCAGGATGGTGAATGCGGATTTGATGCTGCTCATGTTCACGGTAATGAAGGAACATGTTAGCCAGTGCCAGTGGTGCTCAGTGATATGTTTTTAATAGTCAACAATGGAAGTCTATGGCATAGACGAATAAACTGTATCAGGCTTTGGCTACAGTAGAGCTGCACCAAGTTGTCAATCAACTGAAAATTAATTGGATAAACGGTTGTTAAAGTTATTTTTTATTCTAAAGTGCCATAAAGTCCCTAGTTCCAACTTCTTAATAGGAATATTTGCTAGTTGTTGGATAAACAAGCAATTATCAGCTATTTTCTGACATTTTAGAAACCCAACAACCCAGAATCCACCGAGGTGTAAAATAGTATGCAGATTAAACAATAATGAAAATAATTGTTAGTTGCAGACCTACTTGTTAGTAGGATCAATCAATTCTTGGATTTGGATCATAGTGTATGTTAACAATACTTATATGTTACCAGTCTAATCCTTTAAAGCGACTGTAGACCATCAACAGGAACCAGAGGAGTTGATGGAAAGTAACTTTCCAACCAGGTGACTTTTTAGGTTTTTTTTTTTTTCCTCTGCTGACTCTGAAAACCTGAAAGACATAATTAACTGTTCTCCCCTAATTTTGAAAAGAGGCCATTTTCAATTCATAAGGTTTTTTTGCTGATGCTTATTATGTTGCGGTCTGAAGCCCCTCCTGGCCAAACCTGATATCTTTCAGAGAGCTCTTTTCTCTGATGCTCTGATGCACTTGGCAGGGCTCTCTCTCTCCCTTCCTTTCTCCTCTCTCGCTCTCCTCTCTCCTGCCAATCCTCTCTCTGCCTCTCTCTGTTAATGCCCCCACTGTCATAGCATCTACAAGTTCCAAAACACATTAGACATTTAATAGCCATGCTCAGGTTGCATTGATCTTATCAATACAGCCCAGAAAGATACACATCTCTGCTGCTGCTAGTGAATAATTTCTGGACTTACAAGTGAAGTGGCCTTGTTTGTGTCTGTTGTGTGTTTATTTACACCAAAACTTGCCTAAAGCAAAACTATTTTATTATTGGCCGGACAGATATATTTACATGAGCTTCACACCTGTGGTGTGACAACTGCATCTGCAATCTATTTGAACAGAAAGGCTCCATATTCAATTATGGTATATTTAAAATGCTCCCTCAAATTCATATGACCTGTGCCTTCAACTGGAATAAATTATCTTTGATTAAGTTTTTTTTTCTGGTTCCTCAATGATGCATGCAATATTAGCCATCATCAAACTGGCTCGAGTGTGATGTTTTGAATATGTAACAGATGATGAATGTATAATCAGCCAGGGGATGTTATGCTTAACGGCTATGTATTAGTAGAAAAAGCTATATGCAGGCACAGCCTTAGCTCCATCAAACTCTCAGGTATTATCTCATTTGTTATTTTCATGAACACAAGACGTGAATCCGCCTGAATGAGGGTCAGTTCATTTGTAATGAGGGTTGTGGCGCCCTAAAGATCTGCCGGCTGCATTCATATTCAAATTCATACTCTAATGTCTTTTGTTAGCAAC